CTCAGAAGTCGGGAAAACTCATTTCCCGCCTTCTAAGAATCAAAATTTTCCTGGGGGAGAACCCCCCTTTCTTTTTGGGATTTATGGATTCATGGAAAAAAATTGTATGCTACTACTCATTTCTTTTTTATGTATTTATATACACATAAGGCCTATCTACTGTAATAACAGGGATAAATTTACCTGACTGTTTTCAAGAGGGGAAAACCTTGAATTTTGAAGAACTTAAAAGTAATTAAAAGACACCTCGGATGTCGGGAAAACTCATTTCCCGCCTTCTAGATATCAAAATTTTCCCAGGGGGAGGACCCCCGGACCCCCCTATTCTTTGGAAACCTTGAATTTTGAAGAACAAAGTTATTAGAAACCTAGCTTAAAAGTCGAGAAAGGTCATTTCCCGCCATCTAGAAATCAAAAATTTCCCGGGGGAGGACCCCCGGATCCCCTTTCCTTTTTGGGAAAAATGTTGAACCCCATCCCCTAGGTTTTTCCAGATCTGCATGATTCATATTCCCATTCATCTTATAAGTGGGCCCCCCCCCCCCACTTTGAAAAACGTTCCGCCGGCCCTGATCTGTATTGAGAGTATACAAACTGTTCTTGCTGGTCATATAAAATAAATGCTTCAACTACACACAAATTACACTGAAATTATCCTAATGGTATTCTGAATCATGTTAAAATATTTATAAGATGAAAGGTCAGAGTTCATCATTCAAGGTCAAATCATAAGAAAGATTCCATTGAGCACAAACTTCACAGGAATGATGCCTATTACAGTTTAAATACTTTTAAATATATCTTGGGTTCACTGAGTAATGATAACATTTAAAAATAATTGAATTGCACCCATTTAATATACTGGAATGATCCTTAAGGCATTTTACCTAAATAAACCTACCTCCTATGTTTAAAGAATAAGATCAAAGTTCATGTGTCAAGCTCAAGTCATAAAAATTATTCATTTTAAGCCCAAATTTTATAGGGATAATTCCTTTGGAATTCAAAAATCATTTTAAATTATTAAAGGGCCAACACAGTTTACGGAGCAAAGGTTAAATTTTCAGCATTTACAACTTATATAATTCCGTTTTCTCGATGCTGACAAAATGTTTTGAAGTCAAAAGCCAAAATTTATGGAGATGGTCAAAAGTTCAGTAGAAAATTTAAATTGATATCATTTACATGTAGAGAAATAATGAAGTGCACTCTCCCAATGCCTGTGATGACTTCAGATGGCCCAAAGTTTCATGGCGTGACAGCTTGCTGATAGAACGAACTCAGTGTATTTCGCCTATATTTATAAATTAAATGTAAATAAATCTAACAAATTTCTTCTGTAATTAAATTAGCAACATGTTTCTCAAAAGTGTCTTGTTTGAAGAATAAGTGAAGCTATGCATTTGTAATTTCCACTGATGAATCTAACGACATCCAAATCCGAATAAACGTCTACTAAAAAAGAGTCAGCATCGTAAAAACTTGCTTTGAGTTTCGTCTTCATTTCAAGTTGATTCCAATCGATTTTTAAGGAGCGATTAAACAATGGAAGGCAAATTTTCACTAGATCTAACCATGTAACTTTAACGTTTAATGGTGTGTCATTTTAAATCAATGAGATAATCTCTGGCAACAGTACACTACTGCGATTGAGAAAGCAGTACGAACGGTTCATTCACAGGGTTAGGCCTACATTACAGTAGTTGTTAATTCCTAGACAGCAATGTGATTATTGCGGTATTTTTCGTCCGGAAATCGTTGTTTATTAACTGTTTGTTCGGTTTGTAGAAGTTCGTACATTGTACACAAAAAAGTATAATCACCCACGATGTCGGTATAAAGACGTTTTTCAGCCTAGGCCTAGCATCTTTTACGTTGGTAAATAATTGCCATGGTCAGCAAAAATTGCATCAGCATTTCTTAGGGCTGTGGAGGCGAGTTATTTGGAAATGTAAGGCGAGCTATTTTTCACACCCCTCGATAGCAGTTTAGGTGCGCGATGGTTCACGAGCGCGATCACGCGCCTTAAATGACAAGGTCTAGATATCAAGTAAAAATGTATTTTGTTATCTTTAACACCGAAGTTCATGATAAAATTTTCAACATCGACATTTTATATTTAATCTGAAACATATTATATTCAAAAATTTAAATACCTAATGTAAGGTTAAAAGTATCCCTAAAAATAGTGTTTTATTGAGAAGGTTATTAAGACTATTTTTATTATCTAATTGATATTGATAATAAACTGAAGATAAAATCTGATCATTTTAAATTGCGCAATTTATTAAATTACATGCAAAAAATAAATTTAACAGGCCTATCTGTATACTGTAGACTGGATCCTAATTCTTTAATTATATATTGCATTCATTATTAAACACTATTTATTTTTTGCACTAATTGTGTTCCACATTACTTTTTTGCACAAATGGCATTCCAAACTATACTTTGCTGGGGTTAGGGACTGGTCAAATAGCGTGGATTTTGACTTTTTGCGCACAATTTTGTGGTCTAACGTGATGTCAATAAAACAAATTTGGCTAAATTCTTAAATTAAACTGTAATGAAATCAAATATCATACGCAGCTACACGAAAAGTTAAACATACAACATATCTTTGACCTTTCACCTTCCAAATGTTTTAAAAATATCATATTGATAATTTCTGTAAAATTTAATGCAGTTGAAGCATTTCTATATTTGACCTTTGTTTTATGAACTCTAACCTTTCATCGCCAAAATATATTTAACAGTATTTAAAATGTCTTAGGCATAAATCTTGTAAAATTTTGGTTCAACTGAATCAGTTTTATTGACTTGACATTTACTCCATAAACTTATCCTTGTGGATCATTGAAGTGGAATTTGGGTGCAATTGGAGCATACTGATAATCTGACCTTTGGCATGTGCATGGCCTTGGAAGATGGCTGGAAATGGCACTTCACAGACAAAATTATGAATTTTCTTTTTACCTCCAGAATTTTTTTTTGGATAAATTTAGTGGGGTCCTGGGCCGAGAAAGGGAGCCCCGTCGGAGCCCCTTCACTTTAATCAATATAATATGATTTATGCCCTACAGTCGATTTCAGAGACACATTATGGTTTTTTTTATCAACAAAGTCTTTTTTGGTCAGGGTGCTAGATCAAGGAACTATGGGGTAAGGCCCCTTCGGGGGCCCTGCGGACCGCCACATGAGAGCGCATAGGTGTTACGCCACTGCATACATATATTGTACATGCGGTGCGGTTGTGAGGCGTTACACATACTCCAGGCTCCAGTATCATTTGTCACTAGCGTCTCCTACCACTACAGAACAGAACAGAAGGGCAGATGCATGTCTCCAGGCTAACATGAATATACCCCCAACTCTTAGTTAAATGATTCATGGCACCCTCGTTTATTTGACTGCTACATAGTCTTTCCACACCCCACCCCTCTCCCCTCCAGCAAACAGGATCCGCCACTGTATGTAGAGCTTATTTATCTAATAAAAGTTAAAAAAAAAAAAAAATAGAAACGATTCTGTGTTTTAGTCCAACTTCCCAAATCTCCCAAGCCCTGGCTTACCTAACCTAGGCCTAGTATTCTTTTTGTGTACCTAGGTCTACCTTTTATAGGCATGGCCCCTGGCCTAGTGTAGGCCCCTGGCTGGCTCAACTTATTAGCTAAGATAGGCCTTGTTGTAGGCCTAAGCCTGTGACCTAACTAAGCCCTTGACCTGCGGGCCTTGTCTAGGCCCTGGCCTAGGCCCATGGCATCAATTCAAAATCTGAATGCCAATACGCCAACATTCAAATCTCTAATTAATTCTACAATGAATTTTATACTACAGAAATCCATCGCTTACCGATTATAATTATACACCCCTTGCAATGTTTACATTGAACGATTGAACCCAAAGATCTTTGATTGGACCTGGCTGAAACACTGGCGGCGCCCGAACTGGAGGCAGAACCAGTAGTGTTTTGCTGCAGTGACATCTCGGTGCTGGCGACTCGCTGCTGGCGATGACTCGCTGCTGGCGAATCGATCTGCGCATGTGTATAAAATGGTATTTACTTCCGAAAACATGCCTGCTGCACGCGGTAGGTTTGTATTTTGTTTTTCAATAAAGGAAATTCAACTTTTAAGATGTCTTTCTAGACCTAGTTACATTATCATTATAGAATATTGTATATTAACTCTAAAATATAACACAAAGTCAATTTTATATAGGTCTAACATATAGGTTGTTTTTAGCGGCAGTGCCAAAAAAAGCTGCTGTTTTCTATCGGCAGTGCCAAAAAGCTCCCGTTTTCTATAGGCACTGCCGCAGTGCCAAAAAGTTGCTGTTTTCTATCCGCACTGCCACAGTGCGAAAAGCTGCTGTTAATTAATCGAATCGATGTTTTTATCGATAGATGACATTGGTATAATTCATAATTTTATTTCACTCAAAACGTAATGAGACTGGTTAGGCAAAAAGGAACATGTCCCTGTACAAGACGCCTTTCAGAGAAACAATGATAATGTTAATGGCAAAGACATAATAATAATAATAATAATAATAATAATAATAATAATAATAATAATAATAATAATAATAATAATAATAATAAAGATAATAATAATAATAATAATTAAATAATAATAAAAAGTAAATGATAATAATAATAATGAATGAAGATCAAAATATATCATTGATGTGAATTCAGTTATTTATTAAAACAAGATTTGGAGGGCTCTGTCATGAAGGTGTTGTATTAATGATGTTCTAAATATTTGCCTTTGTTATATCAATAATTGATTAGGTCTAGCTTAGCCTATATTATTGTTAACGTTATATTATATTTGTTTAACAATTAGTTTAAATAATTATTTCTAATTAAATTATTAAATGTATACAATATATTATTTAGGCGTAGGCATATACATAAAACAAAAAATAAACAAACAATAATAATAATAATAATATTAATAATAACAATAATAATTTTACGATAGTTTGAATAATGAAATAGTAATAATCAGCATATTAAATAAAATTACGTAAATGCAAAACTGCTTTAAATAAAAACGTTATCTATTTGATTGTGTTTTAAAAAATAATCTTATAAATTATAAGTTTATTTCCTGCGATAATTTTATCCACATATGCATATTCATGTTTTCAATGTTAATATGGTTGATAAATAATATACATTAAAAAAAGTAAATAATAATAATAATAATAAAGGTGCTCGAATAATGCTTTAGTGAATAATTAATAATACTTAGTGTGATTAATGAGATAATCGTTGATTAATTTATAGAAATATAATAGATAGGCCTATATACCTTTAATAATGATTCAGCACATTAAATCAACAATACGTCGTTAATGTAAAGTTTGTTTTTTTTTTCAAATATATATATGTGTATATGTATGTATATATATATATACGTATATCTATATATGTATATGTATATATGTATATGTATATGTATAGGCCTATGTATATGTATATGTTTATATATATATATATATATGTGTGTATGTATATGTATAGGCCTATGTATACATATATGTGTATATGTATATATATATGTATATATGTATATGTATATATGTGTATATATATATGTATATGTATATATGTATATGTATATATATGTATATATATATAAATTTATATATATGCATGTATTTA